TGCTAATCATGCTAATAATGCTTACCAGTCTGTATGAACGGTCGTTTAATGCACTCATCCAACATGCAAACAGAAAAAACACTGCATTCATTTCTATAAATTGAGAATTGTGTATAATTTTTCTCATAATTTATTTCCATCATTTTAGATATTTTGTTTACTTAACTTTGTCCACTGTGTAATTCCTCAGACTGTTCATTCAGGTATAGAGGGAGGTTAAACGGTGGTAACAGTGTCATTTAGATCTACAGCAACACGGATAAAACAGATTCATCACTGTGAGATGTTAGTACTAAAGAGGGAACAGACAGAGAATTCCTCAAACAAATCTATATTATCTGTATATGAAGAACAGAAAACAAACTAACCACATTTTATGACTTTTACAAGTTAATATTCTCTCATAGTCCAAACACTAAAACAGACACAGTGAAGAGCAGACAATTTCTCACAGGAACGCATATAACCTAAAAACTCAGAGCTCCGAGCTTAATTTCTAGAAAATATTCACATTTAAATCGCGATTATATTTTCCCCAAAATCGTTCAGCCCGACAGACACAAAAACACACAGGGAGAAAATAATGCTAATAATGCTAACACTGCTTACCAGACCATGTGGACAGTCAGTCCAACATGCAGAAAAAGAGGAGGACACTTCATTAACATACAGTGAGAACTGTAGTTCTATCATTTTCACATCATACACAACTATTTTAGACAGTTTCTTTCCTTGCCTTTTTAATCTTGTCGCTCCTCAGAGTGTATAAATTCTACTGTACGTCACCGCTTATTACGCACATTACTGTTTATTACGCACACAGCGCTCATAAGGCTCGTGCTTTTGTTACGTGTCAGTGATTGTGCACGTGTGTGTTTGTTTTCTCTCCCCTCTATGTTGCTGTTCTCCTGCTCGTTTGGCTGTCTCCTCTCCTCATTGGTTGCTTGGGGTGTCAATCACCATCATCTGGCCATTCAGCTTTCAGAATTGAGTCCAAGGAGGTGGAGCTTGGACTTTAAAAGCAGTGTGCCAGAGTTTGTCATCACAGACAGACAGACAGACAGACACATAGATAGATAGATAGATAGATAGATAGATAGATAGTTTATTGTAGTGTTGCAGTGTTACAGTAGCAAGACATATAATTGCACCTAAACTTACATAAAATAGGCAGAAATAGGAAAATAGACATAAATTAAGTAAACTATTAAAGAGCAGGAATAAAAGTATATCTATTGCATATTTACATAGCACATAAGACAGATTTGTTGTATTGACATGGGAGCAGGTACTGCACTAAGTGGTATGAGGTAGTTACAGCACAATGAATATAAGCATAACAGCAGTGTTTACAGTCTAAAATGCATAGTGAAAGTGTCATTACAGCAGCAGGTTATGATATATGTGTATTAACAGTGTGTATTAGCAGGAAAGGTGATATAGTGATGTGGTTCAGCACAGTTCAGACAGCAGGAGATCAGTACCATCTCTGTAGTAAGGAGACTCGTTGTAGAGCCGTATAGCAGTGGGTAAGAAAGATCTTACATGGCGCTCTTTAGCACAGCGCAGCTGTAACAGTCGGCCACTGAATGTGCTTCTCTGTTTATCCACTGTATCATGCAGGGGGTGTTGTCCAAGATGGCTGACAGCGACGTAAGCGACATGTGACCTCAGTTTCAGCTCTTGGTTCATTTGTTTGCTTGCTGGCTTGCTGTAGCAGAGAACTTGTAGAGAGGAGAATTATCACTCTGCAATGTCTTCTGGGTTTCTTAAACGCTAGAGGGCGCTCCCGAGCGAGTCCAAAATGAATGGGTTGATATGGAGCATTTGAGCAAAATCATAGTTTATAAATGCTTAAACATTTTAAATGTAAAAGACTACATTAATTTCCTGAACATTGAATAGTATAAAATATTTTAACACTGCTGTTATATTTTTAAGAGCTTTTAAACTCGAGCTATAGGAGTTAAAAACATCATATCTGTCCATGACGTCTGTGAGCGCAAAAAGCCAATGAGCCGCTCTGCTCGCCGCACTCAGTAGCAGTAATGCCTGCCTTCTGCTGCCCAAAACTGTAGAACAAAGGAAATATATAGGTGAGATCTCTTGGTTTTTTTAGTGAAATACATCCTTTTACTTTCTAAAATTAAAGAAACTTTCTGGGTGAGTGATTAGAAACTATTTTAACTTTTCGTTTTTAGCCATAGAGCTCCATTTACTCCCATTCATTGAGGACTCCCTCGCGGGTGCCCTCTGCTGTTTAGCAGTCCTGTGCTTGATATAATAGGCAGAATAGGAAGTAGCTAGGCTCCTCATGTGCAGGTGAGGTGTAGGACTGAGGACCACTGAACTTTAACTATCTAAGGAACACAGATAAGAGACAGAGGTGATTTCACATCGAATGATTTCACATATGATTATTCATATAATATATAATTATTACAGATCATTTGATGACATTTGATTCCTCCGAGTGTGGACTCAGATATAGAGGCAAGGAAAAAGGTTATGTTAGTGTCATAAAGATATACAACCAAATACAGAAAAATAATGAACAGAAAAGAATAAAAAGCAGTAGAACACAATGCATTTTGGTACTTTATTAAATCAACAATGGTCTCAATACAGGATCAAAATATAAATAATAAAATCTCAATACTCTGTTCAAAATTGCTATTTTTCACCTTAATGATCAGTGATTTTCATCTCCCACCTCTATTAATTACATTTAAACTCACATTAGGTACAAACAGTGAGACGATCTTCATTTCAACTCATGTCCCAGTGCACCCATTAACCAATTAAGACACTTTGATCCACTCAGCCAACATGCAGACACAAAGAGATTGACACTGCATTAATTCCCATACAATGAGAACTGTATATGATTTTTCACATATATAATTATTGCAGATCATTTGATGACTTACCTTTCATCTCAGAGTGTGGATTCATGTAAAGAAAGAGAGACAAAGGTGGTATTAGTGCAAATAATGTCTATTATTTTTATACCCATAAATAAAATCACCACCTAACATCACTAATACCATTACATTACAATTCACTTTATAAACACACAACACTTTATTCTGTACAAACAAAATACACACTGTCTGCACTTTTCACATTGTTACCTGCTGAGACGAAAAATGTATATTATTATTATTATTATTATTATTACTACTACTATTAACAGTATTTATACTATTATTAGTATTGGTGCACTCTTATAACAATGCACATTCAAATACACATACATATAATCATGCACATTGATCTTCTATCGGCATTATGCTGAGAATAGTAGTAATGCTAATAAAGTTGACCAGTCCATGTGGTCGGTCATGTAATGAACTCATCCAACATACAGACAATATGAACTGTAATTTTTACATTAATGTCTCTAATGTATATTATCTACATATAAATGACAAAGAAAACCCAAAATCAACAACATGTCACACCACACAATATTCTCTCCCAGTCATTAAACACTAAAACTAATGTAGTGCGATTAGCTTTAGCTAATAATGTTAATAATGATTACCAGTTTATATGGAAGGTTGTCAAAGGGTCCTTTCACAGGTCTCACTGTTAACTGCAGCTCTGCTCCTCCATCACACAGACATATTTAGGTAGAGAAAGACCACCATCATCCAAACAGGGTGAGAGGAATCCCTGTAAAAACATTCAGACAACAAACAGCACAGAACCAGACTGTACATGCAAGAACAATCTACACCAGTTCATTTAAATCATAAAAAAATCAATTAAACCCAAGTCAGTCTTCATCTCACCTTCTGTGTCAAAGCAACGGCAGAACAACGAAGACATTTTCATTCCAGTCCACCAACATGTAGTTAAAAGAGAAGCATGCAGAATAGATTTTATTCCCTAATGAACACATATTCCTTATGTTTGTATAAAACAATGGTTAACAAAGTGACTTGATTACTTTGATTGCAGTCTTCACAAGTTTTAAAATACTGCACAGTCTGTCACACCAAGGTAGAAGATTTCAGCTCAAACATGTGAAGAGAAGTGAGAGAGAAAAACCAAGTAACCTAATCATAAAAGCATTTACCACCATTTACTCAAATGGAAAAGAAGGACAAACTCCATTAAGACACTGTTTATCTCACCTTATGTCCCAGTGCAGCCATTAACCAGTGAAGACATTTTAATCCATTCAGTCAACATGTAAAAAAGAGGAAGATACTGCATTTATTTCTATACAATGACAACTGTGTGCAAATATTCAAATCATACACAATAATTTTAGGCAATTTGTTTACTTACCTTTTTCACTTTGTAATTCCTCAGACTGTGGAGTCAGATATAGAGGGAGGGAAAAAGGTGGTAACAGTGTCATTAAGATCTACAACATCTCTGGCTAATCATGCAAATAATCATGCTAATAATGCTCATTCCTCAGAGTGTGGATTCAGTTAAAGAGGGAGGGAAAATGTGGTTTAGTGTTATTTACATATACAACAATATGGAACAACTACAATCATAACTGAGAGATGAGTTAGTGAAAAGAAACATTAATAAAACATTTACAAACACTTATACATATAATCATTGCTGCTTGTCCACCGTTCACCATTTAGTATCTACTGTCCTGAACTGACACTCATATAGTTTATTGTACAGTGTTTAGTTTATTGTTTGTGTTTATTGTATTGATGGTGTGTCTGTATTATTGTCTTCTGCTGTTCTGTGTTAAGTGTAGCTTCGTGTTCAGGAGGGACTGTATTTTATTCCTCACTCAACACATCGGAGACGAGGAGGAATGATAAAGTTAACTTTGACTTTGTCGTCTCACTTTAACAGAATAATATTCTCTCATAGTCACAACACTAAACAGGAAACAATGAGAACAGATTTAGCTAACAGTGCTAATAATGCTAATAATGCTAATAGCGCTCATAGTGCTCATGATGCTTACCGGTCTGTGTGGACAGTCGTGGACTTAATACAGCATCAAAATATAAATAATAAAATCTCAATACTCTGTTCAATATTGCTATTTTTCACCTAATTGATGCAGTGATTTTCATCTCCCACCTCTATTAATTACATTTATACTCACATTAGGTACAAACAGTGAGACGACCTTCATTTCATCTTATGTCCCAGTGCACCCACTAACCAATTAAGACACTTTGATCCACTCAGCCAACATGCAGACACAAAGAGATTGACACTGCATTAATTCCCATACAATGAGAACTGAATATGATTTTTCACATATAGAATTATTGCAGATCATTTGATGACTTACCTTTCATCTCAGAGTGTGGATTCATGTAAAGAAAGAGAGACAAAGTGGTATTAGTGCGAATAATGCATAATATTTTTATACGTGTAAATGAAATCACCACCTAAAAACATCACTAATAGCATTACATTACAATTCACATTATAAAAAAACAAAACTTTATTCTGTACACACAAAATACACACTGTCTGCACTTTTCACATTGTGACCTGCTGAGATGAAAAATGTATATTATTATTATTATTATTAGTATTAACAGTACTTATACTGTTATTATTGATATTGGTGCACTCTTATAAAAATGCACATTCAAATACACATACATATAATCATGCACATTGATCTTCTATCAGCATTATGCTGATAATAGTAGTAATGCTAATAAAGTTGACCAGTCCATGTGGTCGGTCAAGTAATGAACTCATCCAACATTCAGACAATATTAACTGTAAATTTTTACATTAATGTCTCTAATGTATATTATCTATATATAAATGACAAAGAAAACCCAAAACCAACAACATGTCACACCACACATTATTCTCTCCCAGTCATTAGGCACTAAAACTAATGTAGTGAGATTAGCTTTAGCTAATAATGCTAATAATGATTACCAGTTCATATGAAAGGTTGTCAAAGGGTCCTTTCATAGGTCTCACTGTTAACTGCAGCTCTGGTCCTCCATCACACAGACATATTTAGGTAGAGAAAGACCACCATCATCCAAACAGGGTGAGAGGAATCCCTGTAAAAACATTCAGACAACAAACAGCACAGAACCAGACTGTACATGCAAGAACAATCTACACCAGTTCATTTAAATCATAAAAAAATCAATTAAACCCAAGTCAGTCTTCATCTCACCTTCTGTGTCAAAGCAACGGCAGAACAACGAAGACATTTTCATTCCAGTCCACCAACATGTAGTTAAAAGAGAAGCATGCAGAATAGATTTTATTCCCTAATGAACACATATTCCTTATGTTTGTATAAAACAATGTTTAATTAAGTGATTTGATTACTTTCATTGCAGTCTTCACAAGTTTTAAAGTACCACACAGTCTGTCACACCAAGGTAGAAGATTTCAGCTCAAACATGTGAAGAGAAGTGAGAGAGAACAAACAAGTAACCTAATCATAAAAGCATTTACCACCATTTACTCAAATGGAAAAGAAGGACAAACTCCATTAAGACACTGTTTATCTCACCTGATGTCCCAGTGCAGTCATTACCCAGTGAAGACATTTTAATCCATTCAGTCCACATGTAAAAAAGAGGAACACACTGCATTCATTTCCATTCAGTGAGAACTGTGTACAGATATTTAAATCATACACAATAATTTTAGACAATTTTTTACTTAACTTTTTACACTTTGTAATTCCTCCGAGTGTGGACTCAGATATAGAGGGAGGGAAAAAGGTTATGATAGTGTCATAAAGATATACAACCAAATAGAAAAAAAATAATGAACAGAAAAGAATAAACAGCAGTAGAACACAATGGATTTTGCTATTTTATTAGTCTAACAATGGACTCAATACAGGATCAAAATATAAATAATAAAATCTCAATACTCTGTTCAATATTGCTATTTTTCACCTAATTGATGCAGTGATTTTCATCTCCCACCTCTATTAATTACATTTATACTCACATTAGGTACAAACAGTGAGACTATCTTCATTTCATCTTATGTCCCAGTGCACCCACTGACCAATTAAGACACTTTGATCCACTCAGCCAACATGCAGACAAAAAGTGATTGACACTGCATTAATTCCCATACAATGACAACTGAATATGATTTTTCACATATAGAATTATTGCAGATCATTTGATGACTTACCTTTTTCCTCAGAGTGTGGATTCAGGTAAAGAAAGAGAGACAAAGGTGGTATTAGTGCAAATAATGTATAATATTTTTATACACGTAAATAAAATCACCACCTAACAACATCACTAACAGCATTACAATAGAATTCACTTTATAAACACACAACACTTTATTCTGCACACACAAAATACACACTGTCTGCACTTTTCACATTGTTACCTGCTGAGACGAAAAATGAATATTATTATTGTAGCGAACACTGGCTGAAATTTACCCCTAGGCTGAGTGTTTCTAACGTATCAACAACCCAAAGTTAAGGGCCCTTTGGCTCCAGCGAGTCTGGAATTGAAAGTGTAAATCTGTCACTTAACACTCCCAACCCCTAAACTCAGCCAAATTTACGACTGAACCAAGAACCAGCACCCCTTTCCCTCGACCCAGGGGGCAACACCTCCCTGGAATATTGGCCACATGGCCCTCCGAAGTCCTGTGGACAACTTTATCTTTAAGTAACAGAAAGTACATTTCTAAGGTATATGTCCACTCCAAACTGCAACCATTCGTTAGAACTCTTTTTAACTAAACTAGACATACCCAAAAATGGAACTCATACGACTTTGGACGGCAAAATTTTAACTTTCTAAATCCCTAGGGATCTCAAGCACGGACCCACAGCACCCCCAAGGGGTGAAACCGCAGATTACCACATCACCACCGTAAGGACTTGTGCTCAAAACCAGAGTGCACCGCAAATTTCGGGGTTCAGCTCAGATTCCTGCGTTCGCAACAAAAGGATAGCTAAGTTTCTAAGTTTGTGCCGGCCTTGGTCAGAAAGACAGGTCAGAAGTATTAGAACGCTAAATTTTCAGATGTGAAACCTTTGTTTGTTTTGTAACTTGCCTGTTCGTCTACACACCTTAAGTTTAGACCACCCTTAGAGAAGGAAGGTGGATATTTCTTGTCTGGCCAGCGAGAATATAGCCATCACTTTCGACTCTGCTAAAGAGAGGTAGTTAGTTAAATTAGTATCACCAGCCTCAGAACCCCGATTGCAACCAGAACCTCGCCAGCGGAGTGGGAGCGGTTCTGACGCCACGGAGACCCAGCATCGCACCCAGAGCCACGCACTGATCTGTGAACAGATCGACCATCGAAAGGCTGCCCAAGCTCCACCATCAGACGGCCACGAGACGCCTCCGCCCAATCACTGACGGAAAGGCGCGTGCCCGCACGGAGGTGCAGCGTCCACGGCCAGCGAGGAGAGGAACCACCGCGTAAGCTCCAGCCTTCGATCGAGTCTGTCCTGAGACGACCCCTCCTGAAGTCAGCCCCCGACTCCAACGTAAGCTGGTTCCATCAATTTGCAGTCAGGGCCCTGACGCCAATTTATTTAATAAGAGAACTTTTATAGGTACATCCAGCCAGATATTTATTCCCGTCCGTGCTTAGGTTAATTCTCTAGAGGCTCTCCCAAGCGACTTCCCAAACCACACTGCCTCATACCATTTAGCCAAGAATCACTCTAACTTACTCGAGCTATTTTGTCTTTCATTACTATCACTTTGGTTTGTTTTGTTTTCTGGTTTTATTTTCTATTGTTTATCATTGAATGTAGTCCAAAAGTAGTTTGATAATAAGCCAATAAATTCGCTTTTCGGAAGCATCCTTGGTGCAAGGGTTTCTCTCTCTTGCACCCACTAACCAATTAATACACTTTGATCCACTCAGCTAACATGCAGACACAAAGAGATGGACACTGCATTAATTCCCATACAATAAAAAACTGAATATGATTTTTCACATATATAATTATTGCAGATCATTTGATGACTTACCTTTCATCTCAGAGTGTGGATTCATGTAAAGAAAGAGAGACAATGTGGTATTAGTGCAAATAATGTATAACATTTTTATACGTGTAAATGAAATCACCACCTAAAAACATCACTAATAACATTACAATACAATTCACTTTATAAACACACAACACTTTATTCTGTACACACAAAATACACACTGTCTGCACTTTTCACATTGTTACCTGCTGAGATGAAAAATTAATATTTTTATGATTACTATTGACAGCATTTGTACTGTTATTATTAGTATTGGTGCACTCTTATAACAATGTACGTTCAAATACACATACATATAATCATGCACATTGATCTTCTACCTGCATTATGCTGATAATAGTAGTAATGCTAATAAAGTTGACCAGTCCATGTGGTCGGTCATAAAATGAACTTATCCAACATACAGACAATATGAACTGTAATTTTTACATTAATGTCTCTAATGTATATTATCTATATATAAATGACAAAGAAAACCCAAAACCAACAGCATGTCACACCAAACAATATTCTCTCCCAGTCATTAGGCACGAAAACTAATGTAGTGAGATTAGCTTTAGCCAATAATGCTAATAATGATTACCAGTTCATATGAAAGGTTGTCAAAGGGTCCTTTCACAGGTCTCACTGTTAACTGCAGCTCTGGTCCTCCATCACACAGACATATTCAGGTAGAGAAAGACCACCATCATCCAAACAGGGTGAGAGGAATCCCTGTAAAAACATCCAGAGAACAAACAGCACAGAACCAGACTGTACATGCAAGAACAATCTACACCAGTTCATTTAAATCATAAAAAAGGAAACTGAACCCAAGTCAGTCTTCATCTCACCTTCTGTGTCACAGCAAAGATAGAGCAACGAAGACATTTTCATTCCAGTCCACCAACATGTAGATAAAAGAGAAGCATGCAGAATGATTTTTATTCCCTAATGAACACATATTCCTTATGTTTGTATAAAACAATAGTTAATAAAGTGATTTGATTACTTTTATTGCAGTCTTCACAAGTTTTAAAGTACCACACAGTCTGTCACACCAAGGTAGAAGATTTCAGCTCAAACATGTGAAGCGAAGTGAGAGAGAAAAAACAAGTAACCTAATCATAAAAGCATTTACCACCATTTACTCAAATGGAAAAGAAGGACAAACTCCATTAAGACACTGTTTATCTCACCTTATGTCCCAGTGCAGCCAATAACCAGTGAAGACATTTTAATCCATTCAGTCCACATGTAAAAAAGAGGAAGACACTGCATTCATTTCCATACAGTGAGAACTGTGTACAGACATTTAAATCATACACAATAATTTTAGACAATTTTTCACTTAACTTTTTAGACTTTGTATTTCCTCCGAGTTTGGACTCAGATATAGAGGGAGGGAAAAAGGTTATGTTAGTGTCATAAAGATATACAACCAAATAGAGAAAAAATAATGAACAGAAAAGAATAAAAAGCAGTAGAACACAATGGATTTTGGTATTTTATTAGTCTAACAATGGACTCAATACAGGATCAAAATATAAATAATAAAATGTCAATACTCTGTTCAATATCGCTATTTTTCACCTTAATGATGCAGTGATATTCATCTCCCACCTCTATGAATTGCATTTATACTCACATTAGGTACAAAAAGTGAGACGACCTTCATTTCATCTTATGTCCCAGTGCACCCACTAACCAATTAAGACACTTTGATCCACTCAGCCAACATGCAGACACAAAGAGATTGACACTGCATTAATTCCCATACAATGAGAACTGAATATGATTTTTCACATATATAATTATTGCAGATCATTTGATGACTTACCTTTCATCTCAGAGTGTGGATTCATGTAAAGAAAGAGAGACAAAGTGGTATTAGTGCAAATAATGTATAATATTTTTATTTGCGTAAATGACATCACCACCTAACAACATCACTAACAGCATTACAATAGAATTCACTTTATAAACACACAACACTTTATTCTGTACACACAAAATACACACTGTCTGCACTTTTCACATTGTTACCTGCTGAGACGAAAAATGTATATTATTATTATTATCATTATTATTACTATTAACAGTACTTATACTGTTATTATTAGTATTGGTGCGCTCTTATAACAATGCACATTCAAATACACATACATATAATCATGCACATTGATCTTCTATCGGCATTATGCTGATAATAGTAGCAATGTTAATAAAGTTGACCAGTCCATGTGGTCGGTCAAGTAAGGAACTCATCCAACATACAGACAATATGAACTGTAATTTTTACATTAATGTCTCTAATGTATATTATCTATATATAAATGACAAAGAAAACCCAAAACCAACAACATGTCACACCACACAATATTCTCTCCCAGTCATTAGGCACGACAACTGATGTAGTGAGATTAGCTCTAGTTAATAACACTAATAATGATTAGCAGTTCATATGAAAGGTTGTCAAAGCGTCCTTTCACAGGTCTCACTGTTAACTGCAGCTCTGCTCCTCCATCACACAGACATATTTAGGTAGAGAAAGACCACCATCATCCAAACAGGGTGAGAGGAATCCCTGTAAAACATCCAGAGAACAAACAGCACAGAACCAGACTGTACATGCAAGAACAATCTACACCAGTTCATTTAAATCATAAAAAAAATTAAATTAAACCTCAAGTCAGTCTTCATCTCACCTTCTGTGTCAAAGACAGAACAACGAAGACATTTTCATTCCAGTCCACCAACATGTAGATAAAAGAGAAGCATGCAGAATGATTTTTATTCCCTAATGAACACATATTCCTTATGTTTGTATAAAACAATGGTTAATAAAGTGATTTGATTACTTTGATTGCAGTCTTCACAAGTTTTAAAGTACCACACAGTCTGTCACACCAAGGTAGAAGATTTCAGCTCAAACATGTGAACAGAAGTGAGAGAGAAAATCCAAGTAACAAAATCATAAAAGCATTTACCACCATTTACTCAAATGGAAAAGAAGTACAAACTCTATTAAGACACTGTTTATCTCACCTTATGTCCCAGTGCAGCCATTAACCAGTGAAGACATTTTAATCCATTCAGTCCACATGTAAAAAAGAGGAAGACACTGCATTTATTTCTATACAATGACAACTGTGTACAAATATTCAAATCATACACAATAATTTTAGGCAATTTGTTTACTTAACTTTTTCCACTTTGTAATTCCTCAGACTGTGGACTCAGATATAGAGGGAGGGAAAAAGGTGGTAACAGTGTCATTAAGATCTACAACATCTCTGCCTAATCATGCAAATAATCATGCTAATAATGCTCATTCCTCAGAGTGTGGATTCAGTTAAAGAGGGAGGGAAAATGTGGTTTAGTGTTATTTACATATACAACAATATGGAACAACTACAATTATAAGTGAGAGATGAGTTAGTGAAAAGAAACCTTAATAAAACATTTACAAACACTTATACATATAATCATTGCTGCTTGTCCATCGTTCACCATTTAGTATCTACTGTCTTGAACTGACGCTCATATAGTTTATTGTAAAGTGTTTAGTTTATTGTCTGTGTTTATTGTATTGATGGTGTGTCTGTATTATTGTTTTCTGCTGTTCTGTGTTAAGTGTAGCTTCGTGTTCAGGAGGGACTGTATTTTATTCCTTACTCAACACATCTGAGACAAGGAGGAATGATAATAAAGTTAACGTTGACTTTGTCGTCTCACTTTAACAGAATAATATTCTCTTATAGTCACAACACTAAACAGGAAACAATTAGAGCAGATTTAGCTAACAGTGCTAATAATGCTAATAATGCTAATAGTGCTCATGATGCTTACCGGTCTGTGTGGACAGTCGTTTTACACACGTCCATAATGCGGCTGAAGACAAAGACACTGCATTAATTTACATATAAAGTGATCTGTGTAGAGTTATTCAAACAATATATAATGATTCTAGACTTTAGATGATTTTAGAATTTGTTTACTTAACTTTTTCCACTTTGTAATTCCTCAGAATGTGGACTCAGGAATAGAGGGAGGGAAAAAGGTTATGTTAGTCTCATAAAAATATACAAGCAAATAGAAAAAATAGAATAAACAGAAAAGAATACACAGCATGGTAATACAATAATTCAGCCATAATACAATTCTATTATGATCTTTACAGAGTTGTGTAATGTGCTGTACTGAGTTATGACACATTTTGATAAAGTATATTTTAACAGTTTGCAGTTTGAAAAAGGAAAATGTCCTTTTCTGATTTCGCAGCGCCATCATGTGGACTAAGAACTCAATGCATTTTGGTAATTTATTAGTCTAACAATGGATTCAATACAGGATCAAAATATAAATAATAAAATGCCAATACTCTGTTCAATATTGCTATTTTTCACCTAAATGATCAGTGATTTTTATCTTCCATCTCTATTAATTACATTTATACTCACATTAGGTACAAACAGTGAGACGAACTTCATTTCATCTTATGTTCCAGTGCAGCAATTAACCAATTAAGACACTTTGATACACTCAGCCAACATGCAGACACAAACAGACACGCACTGCATTAACTCCCATACAATGAGAACTGAACGTGATTATTCACATAATATAAAATTATTACAGATCATTTGTTGATTTACCTTTGTCCTCAGAGTGTGGATTCAGGTAATGAAAGAGGGAAAAAGATGGTATTAGTGCAAATAATGTATATTATCTATATCTAAATATATAAAGCAGTATAAATGAAAATTTAAATGAAATATCAGTTCATTTAAATCCTGAAAAAGTAAATTAATCCTAATCAGTCTTCATCTCACCTTCTGTGTCAAAGCAACGGCAGAACAACGAAGACATTTTCATTCCAGTCCACCAACATGTAGATAAAAGAGAAGCATGCAGAATGATTTTTATTCCCTAATGAACACATATTCCTTATGTCTGTATAAAACAACGGTTAATAAAGTGATTTGATTACTTTTATTGCAGTCTTCACAAGTTTTAAAGTACCGCACAGTCTGTCACACCAAGGTAGAAGATTTCAGCTCAAACATGTGAAGAGAAGTGAGAGAGAAAAAACAAGTAACCTAATCATAAAAGCATTTACCACCATTTACTCAAATGGAAAAGAAGTACAAACTCTATTAAGACACCGTTTATCTCACCTTATGTCCCAGTGCAGCCATTAACCAGTGAAGACATTTTAATCCATTCAGTCC